CGAGCCCGCCGATTTGAAGGGCGGCGACGGCGGCGAGGCGGTGAACTGGGAGATTGGGCGGTGGAAGGCCGAGATTCTGGCGCACCCGCTGTACGAGCAGCTTCTGTCGGCACACGTGGCGTGCCTCCGGATCGCCACGCCGGTGGACCAGCTTCCGAGGATCGACGCGCAGTTGGCACAGTCGCAGAATGTGGTCGCTAAGTACTCTGCGTTCGGACACAACAACATCGTTGCCGAAGACAAAGAACTCGACCAGTTCATGGTACTATTTCTCAACTATTGCTTTTTCTTCGTTCGCCAATTCTCCTTGTTTTTTGTTTCTTAATAATCGGCGTTAAACTCTCAGGATTTGTTTCTCCTTGGTTTTGGATTAATTAATTATTATATATTTTTTTTTTTTTGTCTTTGGCGTGTCAGTTATGGAATTGGCGTCGCGTGCATTATTTTATAGTGCATCTGGAACGAGATGAAATTCACTGCTATATTGTGAAAAATTACTAATAAATGTGTTGATACAGCTACAATTGCGGTTGCTGTGACCTTTAAAATCATGGCTGTTGATGTTTTTCAAAATATTGATCTCAATTTATTTATTCGGAAATAGATTAGAGGCCTGATTCAGTTGTTTGCCCAAAAAGTTGGATTAAAAAGGATTATCTAATAAGGTAATGCCAAATTAGAATGGAAATTATCTTGTAAGAAGTGAATTGAATGAAGGATGCAAATGGCATGAGTTTGAGTTACTGAGATGGCTTTTGAGTTGCTGAATTTGGTAATTAGGATGTTTAACTTTTAATTTAATTATCATTTTTATGATCTGCTTTGGGTGTTTTGATTGAGTTATTGAGTTTCCTTATATTATTTTAATGTTTTTCATTTTTCAGTCATGGCTTATTAATATTACGCAATAACAATAGTTTGTTTCATTTTGATTCCTGCGTTCACTTTCATTCGACATATTTCTATAATCCCAGTGCGTTTTCTCTTTCAAGCTTCTGACATGAAATCCTGACGGCTTAAGCTTGTATATGGTCATGTTGTGAACAAACTTCTTGCAATAATGAAGTATCTTGGTGTTGGATCAGCTTGTATATGGATTTTTTTTTTCCTTTATGGGGAAGTTTAATAAACGTGGTACAGTTCCGGTTTTGATGTTTTTAATGTTGATGTTGCAGTCGCACTATGTTTTGTTGCTCTGTTCCTTCAAAGAACAACTGCAACAACATGTCCGGGTCCATGCAATGGAAGCAGTAATGGCGTGTTGGGAGATAGAGCAATCCTTGCAGAGTCTAACAGGTGCACAGAAGTGTCTTCTTTTAGTAACTGTCGCAACTTAAAATAAATGTGAAGATCTGTTGCGTGATAGAGTGAACATAACTTGCTCCCTTAATTATGTTGCTACTGGCAGTTGAGTTTTTAAATGTTCAACTTCTTTTATCTGTACAAAATTCCCTTATGTAAAGGAACCAACAAGCGATTCAATCTTTAGATTTATGAGCAGAAAATTCTGATTGATCTATGAAACATATACAGTGACACTTTTTTAGTTATTTAAGAAAATGTTTTTTTTTTAATTTCCTGTTATGAAGAATTAGATTAAATGTCATTTTGTGTTTTTGTTTTTAAATATTTGTATAGGAAACACTAAAAATGTTGAAAATCCTATTTTTATTGTTTTTTGTTAAACTTTGAAAACAGAAAATAAAGTAAAAACAATATCACATTGTTGCAATTATTTGTGAAAATAGGAATTGTACTTGCAATGTCAGTGAGTTGTAACTGAATGTTTAAATTTCCTAACGGATAATCTTAGTGATGGCTGATATTCTGATATACCATAAGGAAGTACATGGCTTCATGAATTCAATTTTCTCTTTTCTTCTTATGCATGGATTTTGGCTTTTGGAAACACCTTTATCTTTCTTAATTTTATTAACATTGAAATATATAAAAGCAAATTCATTGCAACTTTGCAACAGATGGAATGATGATAGTTTCTAGTGTTTGAAGAAAGTGTTCTAAAATGCACAGTGCTTTGTCCTTTTGTCCATACCACATGTTTACCATGTTATTGTGTTCTCTGAGCAAAGTCTTCAAACTTTTGGTTCAATTAGCCAACATCCAGTGCATAAATTAAACAGCAAAAGCAAACCCTTTTACAAGATGATGAGTTGTAAAGTGATAAATATTCTCACTTGCTGCGTGATGAACAGGAGTTTCACCTGGAGAAGGTACAGGGGCAACAATGTCTGATGATGAAGATGACCAAGTAGATAGTGATGCCAATCTCTTTGACAGTAGTTTGGATGGGGCAGATAGCATGGGATTTGGCCCTCTTGTTCCTACAGAGAGTGAGAGGTCCCTCATGGAGCGTGTAAGACAAGAGTTAAAGCATGAACTGAAACAGGTAAGTGATGTTGAATTTTTTATGGCTTTTCATTCCCTTCTTTTTAACTCTCTTCCCATACGACTGACCTTTAAATTGTTATCATACAGGGTTATAAGGAGAAAATCGTAGACATAAGAGAGGAAATTTTACGCAAGAGACGAGCTGGGAAACTTCCTGGTGACACAACCTCTGTGCTTAAAGCTTGGTGGCAATCACATTCCAAGTGGCCTTACCCCACCGTAAGTCTGATAAATAAGATCTGAATATGTACATTATATAATTTTTCTGGAAAACTTTTAACATATAGGCCCAATTTGGATTAGCTTCCAGTTTGTGGGAGCTTTTCAATTAAATTTTTTATTCTTAACTTGCAAGATACAGCATAGTGCAAGTTTTTATTGGGAAATTAGATGAGTGCTTATGAAAATGATGATTCATTTTAATTTGTTCTCCTATCAGTGATTGTTGAAGAACTTTATCCAAACTCTATCATACTATACAATGTTCTTTTTCATACATTAGGCATTTGAAAATGTTTTGCTGAACTTCTCAGAGTGAAGCTTTAATTGGACAAATTTATCCTAGAATGCAAACAACACGAAGAAGGATTTTCCATACAATTAGAATAAGCGTGTTAGCACAACATTAAGCTTAGTTTTTACTGTCTACACCTTAAACTGAACCTACTCGATGAGATTTATCGAGTGCCTTTCTTTTTAAAGTAAATATTATGATTATTATATTATCTATTGTCTCAGGCCACAGGTAACTTATTTTTGCTGAACTTAATTATGTGCTTTTCAGGAGGAAGATAAAGCAAGGCTGGTGCAGGAAACTGGATTGCAATTAAAGCAGATTAATAATTGGTTTATCAATCAAAGGAAGAGGAATTGGCACAGCAATCCTTCAACTTCTACTGTCTTGAAGAGCAAGCGC